ATGGTTTGGTGTAATTTCCTCTACTGACATATGTAGTCTATTTATTCCTCGACCCAATTAGTACGCTGTATAAAAATTCAAAACAGTCCATTTACGAGTTAGTGCATATCCAAATATGCACATTATTTTTGTGATGGGACTCGGCTCTTTCTTACGTGTTAGTCTTTCAACTCTACTTCAAAGTGAGGTGATCATAGGCATGTCAAGATGTGTCATTAGGGGTGGGTAAAATCTGACCGAACCCACCAAAAGCATTCAAACCGAACCAATTCGATCGGATTGGGTCGATTTTTTTGTTATTTTTACGTGGGTCGGGTTGGGTTATGTGTTAACTCATGAAAACCGAATAAATCCGTCCAACCAAAACCGCCACTTTTTAAAAAAAAGAAATAAAATAAAAATAAAATAACTAGAAAAATAAAAGAAAACTAAAAAGTATAAGTAAATAATACAAATGTAATTACCTTGGTGTATTTTAGAGAAGGAGCTTACTGTTCTTCCCACAAGAAATGTAGTATACGTTTTCCATGTTATGTTCAATGCACTTTATTCTTTATAGGCTCGGCTAATGATGATTAAATAAAATAATAGATAATTTTATTTATTTGTTTGTTTACTTACTATTTAATCTGATCTATTCGAATTTAGTATAATAAAAAATTATATGACTTTAATTTTTGTTAACAAGTCGTCACAAACCGACCGACCAACCCAACCCAACCCAACCCGACCGATACTTGATTGGGTTGGGTTGGGTTTCGTTTCAACTTTTACACGAGTTAGGTTGGATTGAGTTAAATTTTGATCAAATCGATCATGTTGAGTTGGGTTTGAATTGAGTCAAAAATCGATCAAACCCAACCCATACCCACCCCTACGTTTCACTATAAATATTTAATTTTGAAATATATGGAACCTTACGAATTAATTATTTTACAAAAAGAAAAATTCCGATACCCATGAGCCTACGTGTTATAATGCCAGTGAGTTTGAAGTGTCGGTCCGATTTTTCATATTCCGCACTTCTAATGCAAAGGTCATACATGTGTTTCTCTTCCATGTATATGCAAGTTCAAAATAGTATAAAGTTTTGATACTAGATCATCGACGATTAAAAAAAAAATATCGGTCACAAATTTTTTATTTTAAATAGTAACATTAATATGTTTCCTAGCGGGACATGGGAAGCAATTGGAAACTTCAATGCAAATTGAGGCTGGTCCTACAAATCACCCATTTTATAGAGAAAATCTTTATCCTTTGTCGGTGTAAATTATTGTCTTCGACTAACATTAAATAATTACGAGTCATAATCTTACTGAAAATGAACGAGGTTACCTCCAGCTAACATCTGGAGGAGGATGAATAGGCGTATAACGCGGAACCTAATTAAAATCTAACAATAAGCAATAAGTCACCAATTATTGTTTCTAGATGAACGAGTTTAATTAAATAAAACCCTAATTATCAATCAATCATGCAGATCAAAGCAATATAAGTAAAGAACACCAATATTTATTAACAAAGTAAAAACCCTTGAAGAACTCTTCACTTGAATTAAAAAAAAAAACATCTAAGTAAACTTTGTCAAATAGATATACTAGAAAAGATTTAACTTATAGTTGGTCCAGACACAACTAAAGTTTAATAGGCTCTGACCACTCAACTTGTAAATCATTGAAGTACTTTTCGATTGAGCCTCTGCACTTTTCGAAATCTTTGGAGTTCTTCTCCCTCCTCGTGAATCATAAAAAATGAACCCGTTCTTTACGAACTGAAACTCCAGTCACTGGTGTTTTGATGCTTTGATCATGTGGTTGAATCAAGAAAATTATAGATTGTGTTATTGATTTTCAACAGGACGTTCTCTTGAATGAAAATAGGCTTAACACACATTTGGAATGAAATATAGCTTGGATATTTATAATAAAAAGTGTTCGAGATTGTTTAGGATTGTAAAAATACTAAAAATCCCAAAATATGTTTCACCATGCAACACGACGGCTCCAGCGGACGTCGAGGACTCACTGTTAAAATCTGTCGAGCGCCTGAGGGCGGCCAACAAGCTCTCATTGAGCAACCATCAATATTTTCATTATATCTTTCGTTTTCGATATCAAATTGAGGCAATTCAAGGTACTATAATTCTTTTAGAGATATCATTTTTTCAATTCGAGTGTTTTCTATGCGGAAAATAGATCTCAACATGTAGTTGTGAATTTAGAACATAACTTGTGCGGCACTTTGACACTCCTTTGACTTTTAATTGCATCTTATTGATCATATGTGGTGTTCTTGAGCCCGTGAGAGCAACCATCAACACTTTAGACCTAACACTTATGGTAATAATAAATAAGTCGAATGAAAATTCAATGTGCGTTACATTTACACCCCTAGTGTTCGTGCACCTATTATAATTTCTAGGCTATATAACCTTTCGGTGCATGAAGTTTGTTCTTTTTATTCAACGTGCTCGACTAAATTCAGAATTATTTTTGTTGTGCTTGACCAATTTGAGTAGAAGCTTGAGTGGACTCTTGACAAACTTCGTTAAGCGATTGCTAATTATAAAAATTACAATATTCAGCCTCCATGGATATGGCGCAATGGTAAAGAAGGAGGGTTCTCTACGAAGTATCGAATGTTTTAATCCCCGCGACAGTTGGAAGGCAACAATTTATGTTGAAAGGCAACATCTATGTTGAAAGGCAGAGGCCCATAAGGAAGAGAACCGCTGAATGTTCAACCCAAGTGTGTATAAACTGTGACCGCATCTAGATTAACCCCGATGGTGAACTAAGGTGGAAAGCTGTCATTCCTCAGGATTAGCTAAGCGAAATTTTGACACCTGAGTCAACAAAAAAAAAATTCAATTTATTTTTAAGAAGCTAAGATCTCACGATTCTCACACTCCAAACTCGAGTATCTATAGTTTAACAATCATGTTACACACACATCAAGTTTGACAGCTTCTTTAACATCTTGTGAGTTGACAAATTTTTATACATTGATTTTAACAAGAAAAATGCTAGCATTTCTCTTTTAACAATACTATTTCCAATCAATGATCTGAATTTCTACACATATAAGTGGGCTGTCAAAACTACTGTCATCCGAACAAGAGGCATAATTCTTTAACAAATTAAATGATAGGACAATCATCGCATATTATGACAAACAGTAGGCTTAAACAATAAATTAAGTAATTAACTATATTATATATAAGCTTGTACATTTAATAATTTCTATAAAACCTCGATTACACGGTAAAAAAGAAAAATTCCTCTTGCTCACCTCAAATATGGAGCATGATCGATGCCAATTACTAACTTCATGGCTTTAACGTAACAACAATATTTAATAGAAATCAACCTGAAAATCAACTTAAAACAGAATTTAATTGACTCTAATTGTATCCCGCAGGCCGCATCACTACGCTAAACCTTATTATGCGGATTTATAACCAATAGAACACTTCCCTTTACAAGTCGGTTTTAAAGGTGAATTCTACCATGTGGTTGTAACATTTACATTCGGACTTAAAAGATTCAGTGATTGAGTAGAAACTTCTGCATCTGTTTGTACAATGGCAGACTTCTGAGTTTGATTTCCACTTGAACTTCGATTTTGCCATTCTTGGTTTAAGCCTTTTATGGTTTTGAACCTCACATCATTGCCTTCGTTGGGTGCATCTGGAATGTCCATATTTCCTTCGAGCATTTGGACAACCTCGGACATGGTAGGCCTAACAGATGCAGTTGAATTTGTGCAGAGAACAGCCACTTTTGCCGTCCTTTCTACTTCTTCTGGGTTCACCTGAGAACCCAGCCTTTTGTCGAGAAGTTTGTCTATGCAATTAGTTTCTTGCAAGTGACAAGCCTGCAACACAATTTTTTCCAAACATTAGATGGTTTCGATAAGGGAAAAACAGAAGTTGGCTACAATTATGAATGTCTGCATGCAAATGTGGGGGTTAAATTTTGGACTAAATATCGAGTGGAGGTGTCAAATAGGTCAGGCTGTTGTTATTATTGGCAAGCTGCGCCAAGCCCATTTTGCCAAATTTATTAGGTCAGTCTCGACCTGCCTTCAAAATGAAAGGTGTTCGAGCCTGAAGCAGTTTTTGCTGCGGGGCCAGCAGGGCCTGGACAGCCTAATGACAATGGAAGTGCAATTAACGGGGTGTTTGAGCCCCGATATTGTTTAAGAACGTTTTTTGGAATAATATAATGATGGAGAATTTGTGGTTAAAAAAGAAGGAAAAGTTTTTGATTTGAGTGTAAATATTATTTTAATGAAAAATGTGTGGTCGAAAAGAAGAGAGAGAAAAATGTATTTTGGGAAAAATGGGAATCAAGCATCCTCTGAAGAGCCGAAGGATTAGTACCATATCCAATAGGCAAGTGTAATCACTACTTGGCATGTATGTGTTGTTGCTCTTGCCACTGACAATTTCCAAAAGCACGACTCCAAAACTATAAACATCTGCTTTGTCGGTCAAATGTCCCCATAGTGCATATTCCGGTGCCATATAACCTCTGCAATCAAGATGAGAAACTACCAAGTTGGAGCATGCCAAGGTACAAAGGTTGTAAAGAATTATCCAATAAACCCTTTTATAAACAAGTTGAACTCACATTGTTCCAGCAACTTGGGTGCTAATATGGGTCTTTTCTTCTTCATTAAGCCTAGCCAATCCAAAATCCGATATTTTAGGGTTTAGATTTCTATCAAGCAGAACATTGGATGCTTTGATATCTCTGTGAACAATTTTCAGCCTTGATTCTTCATGAAGAAATGCTAATCCTCTAGCAATTCCAAGACAAATCTTGAACCTCGTTGGCCAGTCCAGCATCAACTGACTTTCCTCTGAACCTGAATTTTGTAGCCAGACCAATATAGGCATGTTTAGTCCCATCATAGTATCCAGATTGGACAGTAGAATCAACAAAATTTTAACTGCCTTCTTTAATACTGTCTAGTAATGTACCGTCGACCCTAGCAAAAAAGCCATAAAACCAACAAACAGAAAATTGAAAAAGATATGTCCCGTGTAAGAAAAATTACCAAACAAAACATGGGCCAGACTATTGTTTTCCATGTACTCATATAAAAGTATCAATTGGTCTCCTTCAATACAACATCCAAGAAGCTTCACGAGGTTTGGGTGTAGCAAACAAGAAATCATGCCAATCTCATTCAAAAATTCACGATTTCCTTGCCTTGATTTAGAGGAGAGCTGCTTTACGGCAGTAACAGTACCATCAGATAATTGACCCTGTGCCAGTTCTTCCATTAGAAAACCTATGCATCAGAAATGAAGGAAATAATGCTCTCTAAACAATAAATACCTTGTACACCGGACCAAAACCACCTTCTCCAATCTTGTTTGTAGGATCGAAGTTGTTAGTAGCCACTTTTATTTGTTTCAAAGTAAAAGAAACTGTTTGCAATTCTAGACCTTCAAAATCTGTTCAGGGAAGACATAAAATGATCACTCACTTGCACAATGTTCTGTTTGGTCATCCCATATAGGTAAAGCGCATTTGATATCCCATAAAAAAGAACAAAAAATTAGAAGATACAAGATTTATGAGGTTTAGTCCGCATCCAACATCCAAGTAAGGGAGGAAAACCAACTATAAAGAGCTAGGGTTCAAGAACAGAGAGAAATCTCTAAATTTCCAAAATCCCAATGCATCGTAGATGACTATATGGAAACACACACTGTATACAGGAGAACGAAGAACTCCCCAATTCCTTTTGCTCCATGACAGGTGGTCCACTAAAAACGTACTTAAGGTAGCCATTGACTTTTAAGAGAGAATAATATTGCTGTTTGAATGAAAGATCTAGACATCCCACCTAGAATGTCATTTCAAATCATATGATATGGTGGCATCTTTGCAAGATTATGTTTGCATATTTAACTGTTACATTTTGAAGTTTACTTTATATTTCATATTTGATACCCTAAGCATGAATTGCACTCTGCATTTAATAATCATATACAACAGCTATGAATCAATAATCATTCTTGCTTTAGTAAGATAAATCAAAGTCCTCACCTTTCCGTTTTCTGCCTTTCAAACAACCCTTCCACCAAAGGAAGCCAAATATTGAGAAAATAAGGCATATGGCCACAACTCCAACACTTACATAAACAGTTAAATTTTTCTTGCCTCCATTTGAACAAATTTTGAAGTCTGCAAAAAATAAGAAAAGGCATTAATGTTTATGTAATACTAAGCAAGGAGAAACTCAAGTTTAAACTAGAACCAAGTTCAGCTCTTACTAGCACGTTAGGCATTTTTATGACATTCAAACTTCATACTAGCTAAGATGAATACGAGCTAACAAATGCACGCCCCCCAAGACACAACCGAAAGAAAATTTCAGAAGATCAAGATTCAATCTAGAGCACAACCTTAAATATTAATATAGATTTGAAACTGCAGTGCTGATGGTTGAAATTAATGAATGTGGAGAACCGAGAGACATGTTGAAGAAAATTCATGAGTTGTGTGCACCTAATAGTGTAATAGTCTACGAAAAATCACATAACCATCAACAAATATTTGTGGATAGCGCGTGCCACTCACATCTATCAATTAATAAGTCAAGTCGATAATTGATAAGGAGAGATGATACACTATATATAAAGGGGGGTGGGCGGGGGGGGGAGGGGATAATGAAAATATAAGAAGGAAAAGAATGCAACTACTCACTTGGAATGACAGAGATAGCCGATATAATGGAACCATAATCTCCTTTATTAGGAATTCGTGTAGTTCCTTTACTCGCCCAGTAAAATCGGATCTCCAAAGTATTATCTGATACAGTGACATTAAAAGGTTTGGTCACGGGCCTTTGAGCTCCCCTAGCCTCATCTTCAATGTTGAAATCTTTCCAAACTAATTTTTCCTGAAAGTGAAAGAGGGTCTTAAAAAGCCATAAAATTCACTTGGAAAAACGCATATAATTCAAATATATATTCAATACCTGGATGTATATGTCAAACATCCGCTTTCCAAGTTTGTTATATGTGTTGTCATTTGTGAATAGTATTTCAGCAAAGTGAAGATTAACGCTATAACTCCCATTCTCCAAGCAATAATGGTAATACGTAAGCGAAAGAGGACTGAGACGTGCAGTACAATATAACTCAGAGAGGTTTGCAGTTGACGTGGTTCTGATAGAACGTGAATTTTGGTTGCTAGGTAGGTCCATGAACTCTCCAGAACTAGTAAACCCCCAATAACTGCTGGCACTTAAAAATCTTGCATCACCTCCAACATCTCCTTCATAAGTAACTTTTCTGTTGCTTTCTTTGATTTCCAAATTGCCCCCACCACAATTAACATGGAAAGAACATTTGTCTGTCATGGACAAACGAGATTAATGGTTACACGAGCAATCTCACAACTCTTCCTAAAAAAACATATGAATTAGACGAACAAAAACTCCATGGGCACATGAGGAAGGTGGCACCGATTGAGGATAAGTTAACAAAAAGACGAGTTAGGTGGTTATGACATATTTAGTTTAGACCTAAAGATGCTATTGTTCAATTGACATTATCTCAGTAATATAGGTTAGAAGAGGAAGGGACAAACTAAAACTGACGTGGCCTGAAATTGGCACAAAAAGATTCATGTAGATGATCCCAAATATATATATTGGGAACAAAGCTTACTTCGTTGTTATTTTTGTCATAGTGAGAAGCTCCAAAATATTAAGTTGTGAAGCAGATAAAGCATATAAGGAAAACTTCAGTTTTATAATGAGGCAATAAAGGGAGAATTTAATTAACAAAAAGGGAACATACTTACATCTGGGACAATCTACATTTCTTGTACATGGAAGCATTTGTTGTCTGTTGGAGGTTAAGCAGTGAAGCAGTCAGAAACAAGTGTGCATTTAGTTTAGTTAGATGACTACTTGAGAATTATAATTTGGTTTCAAGTGTTGGCCAGTAATATTTTATGAATAAAAAGAGAGAATGCAACTTACGGTGGATTTACAGTAGCAGAGCTTTTGAACAGGTTCACATTTTGATTTCTACTAAAAGAAGGGGGGGAGAGAGAGAGAGGTTAATGATTTGAATACAGAAAAAGCGCACACTGATGAAAATATACAATACGAAATAATTAAAGAATTTCTTAACATGTTTGATTGACAAGCCGATTGGTCAGGGCCTTTCAATGTGAAATTGTTGTAGGAAAGATCACTGCACAATGTTAATAAGATAGATGTCATTATCTGGACCATTTAAATTATACACTTACACAGAAGCATTCATCAATAGCCATTATTGACGGCAATACAGAAAGAAATTTTAGGGGGTTTACCAATATGCACAGCTTAATATTTTGCTATAATGCTCTTTAGAATTATATATTTGTGATGCAGGAAAAGTGGATCATGCATCATTCTATCAACGCACATTCAACCTTCACTCACAAACAAGATGGAATATCGGGAATGACATCAAATGGGTATCATTATAGCTATTAAACGTACATATTGCTTCCATCCTTCAAGAGTGCATCTGGGATATTTCCACTTAGCATATTTCCAGTGACAAACCTAATTAGGAAAGAACATATGGTAAGAATTACGTGCTGAGGGACAGAAAGGTAGTTTCAAGATGTTACCAAGAAATGTAGATTTTTCCCAAAATGCATTTAATACAGTGAAAGATTGAAGCTTGTACTCACACAACTTTCAGATTTCTTGCGATGTCATATGGAATATTTCCCACCAACTTATTGAAACTCACATCCCTGTTTATATCATAAAACATAAAATATAGTCAAACAAAAAAGTAGTTACTCCCCTATGTCTGAACTTACTAAATCATGTAAACACATTATTTCAGTATGATTGCTGCGTTATTAACAGAACTGCAAGTCAATTGAAGTCAACAAAATATTTATTTAAAGACGTGATAATGTAGTTTATACATATCTATTTGGTCTATTAATTTCTAAGTTCTCCTGGGAACTATTTCATTTCATAACTACGGTTGCATATCAAGTCCTCCCATATCATGTTTCAATTATAGCATGACAATCAACAATGGGACAAAACCCATGAAACAGAAGTATATCATCTGTCAAAAAGTTTAATAGGAGAATAATAAGTCAAATACCGTTTTCCTTGAACAAAGTCCAAATACAGAAGGCAGAAAGAAGAATCGAAGTAGCAGGACAGAGAAATATTGACCACCATGCAACCAGTAACCCCAGAATCGTGTAAATAAGCAGCTAAATGATTATTTTAAACTGATATTTGGTTACTTACAACATCTGTAGAACCCGAAATTTCCATACATATGCAGGAATTTTTCCAGAAATGTTGCAATTTCTTAACACCCTAAATCCAAGAGTGAATTTATCTCATTAGTTTAGAGTTATGAAACAAAAAATTAAAGAATCTCAATATGCATAATTGTTCAGCACACAGTGTTACTATGCTTGTCGTGCTCCGCAGTACAGGAAATCCCTGAGTTGGCCCTTTTATGTCACTAATTCTCCTGTATAAGAAAATTCTGACGTGAAAACTACCAAGTAGTAAACTGATATGGAAATATAAAAATAAAAAACCGAGGCCAACGCAAATCTTATGGAGGTACTACTTACAAGGCGGTTAACATTGTCAGAAAAGATATGCTCGAGGGAATTGGTCCCTCTAATCCACTCGCATGCATTTCTCTTCAGTAAGCATTAAAACTAATAAATGTTAAACAAAATAATTGAGAAAAAAAGTTATCTATCATATCTTCAAAAGCACTTCTAGGTATGCAAGGATCTTACAAATGTGTTAGCCGTTTCCAGTTCTGAATAAATTCAGGTATCGGTCCACTGAAATTGTTATCATTTATCCTACTGCATTGAAAAGGGGCCTTCATTGAATATATCATCAAATTTCTAAACAATAAATTGAAGAAGAGTGTGTATATGCTTACAAGTCATCTAAGTTTATCAGTTCCGAAAAAGATGTTGGCAAGTTTCCGGTAAATTGATTGGAGGACAATACCCTGTGATTCAATAACCAATGCAGGCTGAAATAATCAGATTTTGTCTCATTCATTGAGAGTCGCATGTGAGATATAAAGCATATGGTGCGGTGCATAACAAATGTGGGATCTTACAGAGTCTTCAAGTTTATCAACTTCCCAAGTTCAGAAGGAATAGAGCCTGAAAATTGGTTGACTTCAAGGCTCCTGGTAAAATGACAAGCAGAATAGGACAATAAATTCTCCTTTATTTCAACAATAGTAAGAAGACAAGGAAGTCCTCTTTGTTTGTAACATCTCATTGTAGAAGCCTAAGTTGTTTGAGAAGGAAAGAAGTTATTTATTTAAATTATGCTGTCAGCACGTCCCTCATGATCCAGCCAGATACATTTTTCATTAAAGACCTAGCACGTGCATATTTTTCATAAATGTGATGGTGAGATTTAACCCTGAGCCTCTGTCTGCTCTGTCACCATGTTGATCTATTGAATAAATGAAGATGGAGAAGGAAAGAGCGTGAATAAGAAATTATTCATTTAAAGCTCTTTTCTTCTCTTACTTTCATCCATTTACTCAGAAATTTAACACTCCTCATAAGTTTTATTTAACAACTAGATTTCAATCAGCAACTCTATTTCAGAAAACAAATTAACATATGATATACTTGAAGACATACAGGTACGTGAGGGTAGTAATGTTTCCCAGTTCCTCCGGTAATTTCCCTGATAACAGGTTCACAAGAAGAGAGCTGCATCAAAATTCTGTAATTAGTTGGTGCTTAAATAAATGAATAACTAGAATACATACATAAATCAACGATGGAGCATACACAAAATTCAACTGTGTTGAAGCCCATTCAATTGGTATTGTCCCGGTGAGGAGGTTGTAAGCAAAATCACTGAGAGTTGAATGAAATATAACTTAGATTCAGTAGCTGATGCTTCTCCATGACAAAGTTGGCATAAATCAAAGAATCAATATAATGCTGGTAATGACAGGTTCTTACATATCTCGGAGGTACGGAAGCTTCACAATTTCAGGCGAAAGAATTCCTGGAAGATTATAACTCTTTAGCACACTGTATAATGTGGAACGTGGACATTAGCATCGAGACAACGGTTTCATCAATATAGTAATAAGTATATGGAGATATTATTCGCTGATCACATCCTTCCAGCAAAACATTAATAATTACATGGAGACATCATTGAAATCTATACATAATTTAAAACTGTAGTGCTTGTATATATCTAAAGTGACAAGATTCTTGATCGGGAGGAACAGAACCCTAAACCATATGGATTCCACGATGAATTAAATTTTTGAGAACATAATAAAAGAAGAGATAAAGATACTAACATTTTTGTCACATGGCACACGGTGTTGTTTTCATAGGTGCAGTCACAATCAACATAACCCTCAGATCCACTTGGAGCAATTTGTGTAACGCCAACCAGTTCAATATCACATAAATTGGCATTAAATTTCCAGAATTTTGCACCCATTGCAGTAACAATTTGTTGCAGCACATCCACTAACAGACAGATATCAATGCATATTAGCATTTTATATTGCACCAAGGTATGTTTCATAAGGAAAATTTTACAGCATCGGCTCGTCTCGAGGAACAAAAAGAAGCTAAAACTTGTCCATTATACAAAATATGCACTAAGACTATGTTTGGTATGCAGGACAGCATATATAACAAGATTGTAGCTTCTTTTTTATCCTTAATATATTCTAGTATAATCGTCCATACCATACCAAGCATACCATTATTGTATTCAGCACAAAGCATATATGTATTAGAAAAAAATGAGAACAAAACAGTAACTGAGGATACTAACCTCAAAATAATGGCAAAAACTTAGAAAAGATTTACTAAAGAACTAATAACAGATGTGCTGTCAAAGATCAGATTCAATTCAATTGTTATAACAAACCAGGTAGAGTTTTTATATATTAAAACTTTTGTCAGTTGTCACTGAAACTTATACCAATCAGACACTAAAATCTGCCAAAGTATCCAATATATGCCTCGAGTTTGAAGAAATTGGCTTAGCTGATAATTTGCAAATATCACTTAAGTTATTGAGCAAAACACAAACGAAAAAACAAAGTGAATAAATAAACATAATAATTATTGTTCTTTAGTGGGCACTATAAGATAACTGCATATTCATGAAATAGGAGCTAAAACTCAGATTCTTACCTTCTTCTTTAGGCACCTGTGGCACAGCAAAATTCAGCAACCTGAAACAACTCAATACAAGAATCCATGAAACAAAAGCGTTTGTTGACAGCATTTTCAAGCTTCTAGTAGAAGGGTAATATTGTACGGAAAGAAAAATACAGTGGATTGGTAATCAGACGCTGATCTTGATTTATTATTACCTGTCGACGAGGTTTACGGGGTCAAATTAAGGTCGGATCTTGGAAGTAGGAGTAAATTGTTTGAACACTCACTCACTCACCGAACTTGAATATGGTCACGTTTTATTCACTGAACTTTAAATTGCTTTTAAATGGTCACTGAACTTTGTGCAATTAATGAAAGTTCAGTGATCATTCTGAGGCAATTTGAAATTCAGTAAGTAAGTCGTGATCATGTTAAAATTCAATGACTGTTCAAACAATTTAATCTGGAAGTACGTGGACACGACATTTTTAGTGTATTAATTTGTATCAATGTATATTCCATGTCAAATTTTAAATTGAGGATATACTCTCTCATGATCTAGTAAAAAATTAAATTTTAAATAAAAATTGATAAAGTATATAGTTGAAAAGTTAATAAAAGGGCGAGTTAAATGAAATTAATTGTTAACTTTCACTTAAACTTTTTTGCTAAGTCAAATTGGGAATATAATTTTAAAATAAAATGTACTCTATGTATACTTAAACATATTGGATTTTATTTCTAATGGCAACCTCCGACGAACCTGATTTCTAATATAATAGAACTTTATATGTGTATAATGAGTTCTTTCCATTGTATTAGTCATAGTTAAATGTGTGATGCACTTTATTTTTAATAAAATTTTAAAAAAAAATTAATTAAGTATATAGTTTAAAAGTTAATAAAAGTGGTGAGTTAAATGAAATTAATTGTTAATGCGAAAAATGCTTTTATATTTGTAAATGACGTATCTGCTTAACAAAAATATTAAATTACCAAATCTATGTCGGTGAAATTTGATACGTCATTAAATATATCTTCTAAATTCGTTGCACAACTTATCATTTAACTTTAAACTAAAGTCCAAAAACGATGTACGATAAAAAAATAACGTATAAAAGCAAAAGGAAAAAAGTTACTCTTATCTTCCGAAACCATCAACCCCATGCACACAACTTTCCCAGCACCAATACCACAATGTTCATGGCACTATCATTACTTACCTCCAGCAAAAATAACGCTTATCCAACTCCAATAAAGGTGAAATTTTCGAGGTTCAAGACATTATGGTAATAGTATTTTGATGGAAAATGTGTGATTAAAAAATATGAAAAAAAAAAATTTGGGTTTGCGTATAATATTATTTTATTGAAAAATGTGTGTTTAAAAATAAGAGAGAAAAAAATGAATTTTTAAAACAATAAGGATCAAAAAATTGAAAATTTTAATAGTTTTTGATAAAAGTTGATAAAGTGTAGTTAAAAATTACTCACTTATAAAACTCATTTCGTAGAGCCCTCAATTTATAAATACGTAAATAAAAATAATCAAACTCTGCCTGTCATGCACTAAATAGTTGAAACTTCCTTAAAAAAATCAATTACTTTAATACGAGTATTCACACATACGTGAAGGAAACGTCTTATCTTAGAGCGATTTTCGATTCGCCGCCTTAAATATGCGGCCACCTTCTGGTATGTGTCAATTGTAAAAATAATCTAAACGATAAGTCAACAATTTTGACCGTCACCTCTTTTCTAAAGTGGGCTGGTTTGTTTGAACAAAGAATTTTTAAAGCTATATTTCAAATCTCGCTGCCATTTGTCTTAAATACTAGTTATGGCCGTGCAATGCATTCTATGATGGTATATGTGCAATTTTCTCATTTCTAGTTATGGCCGTGCTATTCACGGACTTTGTTATTTTGATGATAATATTAGCGTTGAATATGAAGGATTAAAAGGAGATATATGCAAGGTTAGCAAAATGAGCTTAATTGAACAAAATAAATTTACATATGATTTCACCCATAGAATACAGTTATAAAACATTGAAAGAATGCGAAGAAATTTAAAAAAGCTTAAACGAGATCCATACAAAATTTATCTTTGAAAATTCTTATGTAAAAAATAAAACAAAGAACAATTATACTGTATCCAGAGAAGTATGGAAAGAATAATTCTTCATCTTTACAATCATCCTCTATTACATTTATTTGTTCATCTAACGCTATCACATTTTTAATAGTATGCTTCAGTGCACCACCACCCATCACCTTGTTGTGCTCGCCCTAATCTATCAATTCAGGTTAATTCATTCATCACACTTATTTTTAACTTTAGTACTATTTTATAAATCAATTCTTTTTCCTTCTTAGTTTATATATAATTTCAGTATAAAACTTTATTATTTTTTTTTCTTGCGTTCTTTTTCCACTTCTATTATTAAAAACTAAACAAAACCGAAAAAAATCGAAACCACTTACCGATTCGGTAAGTTCATTTGCTTTGGAACGTAACTTCATTGAAAATTCGATAAGTTGAAAAAAAAAATTTATTTCCCTTTTTTTTTTTGCTTGTCTTTCAAAGTCAATTCAGTCAATATAGACATGTACAACGGGAAACAGAGAGGAGAAGAAAACTGCCACTAGAAAGAAAGAAGAAAACGAGAGGAAGAAAAAAAAAAAGAAGAGAAAGAGAAGGGAAGAAAAGGGAAAAGTCAAAGGCAGCAAAAGAAAAACACAAAAAGGGGAGAGAGAAAAATAGAAGAAGGAATAATAATCACAACCATCATAATTATTTACTTTGATTTTATCAAACAGGAGTTAGAAAAAAATTGATGAAGTCTTGAAGTATAGTTTTCGTAGGAACGATATCTGAACTCAAAGGTCTACTATACTGCTTGTTACGATATCGTACACTTTCGATATAAAAATCGCAACAAATTTTTGGCTCACGAGCTAGTTCTCAAAATGGATCGAGAGTCTAGAGCTAATTGCTCACCTTAGCCTAGTTATGGTTAGACTGCATGACATTTTCATCTTAAAAACAACAAAATTGGTGAGCTAACAAGCGGTTCGTGACGTTCGTCCCTCCAAGGATGAGTTGGTGGGGGAGCCAAACGAGCTTTTTTGGAAACGAGTTGAGTTGTGCTCGTCTCAATCCATAACATCCCTACCCAAATGAGTTCCCTTTCCCAACTTACGAAGCCTTAGCCACATCCTTGGTTCAAAAGTTCAACCATTTAAAAAAATAAAATAAATAAACCACTAATTTTCTACAGGAAATGTGGTGATAAGATAAATTGGTAGAATAATTTTTTGTTTGCCGACATACGAGGGAAATGCTGTGATTAATTGAAATTGGTAAAGAGTGGGCTTGAAGAGATGGAGTCCGCATTAGTGATATTGCACTAGTGTGTGAATTAGATTATAATTTTGTCAATTTTTCGGATGGGCTTGGTTTATGATTTGTTCATATATTTACTTGATTATGTAGGTTGACGAGGTTATGAATCTTGTTCAATTTGTCAGGTGGGATTGTAATTTAAATGAAAAAGTCATGAATTTTCTAAAATGAGGTTATGAAATTAGAATTTTGAACAATCCATTCTAAAAGGAAAGCCTCATATCATCAAGATGATAATAAAATCCCAATGAATCAATTAAACAATATAAAGTATAATTCTGTTAAAATCTTATAAATTATGTTCACACACTCGCGAGATTCCATAAATTCTATGAAATTCATTCGATTCTCAATTGAGACACCCTCCATCAAGTTCGTTTCTTCCTCAAATTGAATTAATGGGTTGGCCAACTGAAAATGATAACATAATGCATAACCATTCTAGTCTCTAATTCATTAAGGCCATGTTTGATTTGGCTTTCTTTTCCATGGAGGATGGAAATTAAATTTCATTTCTACCTTTTTGCATGTTTGATTGACTTAGGTTTCCACGTTTTCTTGATTTTCCATATTTTCTTGATTTTTGAGGCAAAGTTTTTCTCGTGGATTTGATAAGAAAAGTTTTTCTAGGCAATACTAAAAAAAAAATGGCAATGGAAACAAATTTTATCTCCAATTGTACCAAATTATATCCCTTTAATGGACAATTTCCATAAAAAAAACAAAGTCAAACTAACACCAAAAGATCCAAACTCCTTCCTAGATTTAGTGATGCCCCATTTCAGAACACGCCCTATAAAAGTGCAAATCGCAAGTGTACATATCGCGTTCAAGTAGTGGTGGCAATTGGTCGAGCCGACTACCCACACGCTCGGCTCGTGGGCTCACTCGTGCTCATGCTCATCATTTGACGAGCCCGAGCTGCCCACGAGCCAACAAGCCGCTCGACCCATTTGCCACCACTACGTTCAAGTAATAAAATGGATCTTTTGAGTTCGAGTTGTTGATCTTTCGAGGAATGTATACTTTTGATTACACAATTTCAATCAATTTAATAACAATAGAAATAAATAAATACACCAAAGATTTTGATTTGAAAACGTGAAAGGCGACTAAAAATTTACAAAATAAGAAAACATAAAAATTTTGGAAATTTCAGAGGAAAACGCGGTTGGAATTTATGGTTTATTTAACCGTCGCCTATTTAATTTTCCCACAAGCCAATTAACAAATTATGCATTTACGATATTAGACTCGATTTTCCAATTTTAGTTAATTACTTCTCTCGAACGAAATTAACCATAATTTATTGGTTTAACATACTATATTTTTATGTCGATTAAAACCAAATAATCACATTAAATTTTCGTCAAAATAGCTTAATGAGTCACCTAGGATTAGGGGCTATACCCTATACAAATCTAAGGTTTTTATTCCTCCTGGAAGTGTCACTACATTGTCCATGTTTTTGTTCACCGTGATGGTCGCGCAACCACCAAATATTAGGAAGTAGGTTCCAATGAACTCTGCGATCAACTGTGAGCATGCAAGAGATTACATATAACATAGATATCGGCACATAATGATAGTAGATAACAGATCAAGAACTTTTGTAGGAGAATTAGAATCATCTTTTGCACGAAAGAAACAGAAATAGAGCAACCTGAAGAATTCTTGGCATTAGTGGATGTAGGGAGAGGAGGGTTTTGATTGAAATCAT